AGTGTAGGTTTCCTTAATTTCAGTCTTCTCTATAGTGAACCCCTGTTTAGTGAACACTTGCGTCCAATTGACCACTTGTTGCTTATATTCGGGTATTTTTATCCACTTTTCGCATTCAGACCTCTCTTTCGGCGATAGTTTTGCATTCAAATCGTGTGTTAAGACATAAGATATGAAAGCATAGCTATTGGCGGCCATAAGTCGGTGCAAATTGTGGACAAGTGTTGACTTGTTTTGGATCATCATTAGAGTGGAGTTGGAGAACACGAGAGACACCTTTCCCTCGAGTGCTCGCAAACCGGCGCTCAACTCATCCCACGGTTTACTCATGTCTTCGGCAATGAAATCAATCGACGGTTTAGTATTGTTTTGTATCGAGAAGTCAATCATTTTCTGGTCGATGTCTACGCCTATGATTTGCCGGTGTTTTACCCGATCGGCCAGTATTTCGGTCACATTTCCCGAACCCGAACCGATGTCCAGTATTATATCGAAATGGCTATAAGTTTATTGCATTAAATATAACAAAAATTAATTATAGTCATAATAATAATGTTTAATTATCTTACGTATTCACTCCAGTGGTCTCCAAAATATGGTCAATTAACTTATTAGCAAATATTTTATGAGGGTTATTTGCTTTATGATAATCATTCGGATCCACATTCATTGTAATTGTGTTCAGAGTGGTCTCAATTGCCAATAATATTGAACTATAACTAAATAAATGTCCGTATGATTGCTTATCTTATACGTTGCAATATTATTTAATACCTTATGGTAAATCAGGAAATTATATTTAATTAATTTTCTCAGTAATTCGTAATAAATAATCTTCTGATATTTAATATATCGTATGATATATTCAATGGTAGAAATAAATAAAAGTAATTTTTAATGACTACTACTTATCCTTCTTTATTACCAGGGAAGTTTTTAGCATAATAATTTCATAAATAATAAAATATGTTATTTAATTATTTGTGCGTGCGAGAAGATTTTAATATTGACAAATTTTATTGCAAATTTAATGTATAAGGAATATTTATACTAGAATATAAAAAACATTAAAAATTTTATGATAAAGTTTAAGTAATTATTATTTTTAATTTACTCCTTGCAAAAGTCTGATCATATGATACATGAATTAATTTATACTCAAAATTACATAACTTATTAATCTATAACCAATAATTAAGCTAGGTATT